CTGTTTATCAATAAAATTTTGAAAAACAAAAGTTAAAACCATTGGACTCTAAGTCTTCCATTTAATCCTCCACTAATTTAATGACTAGAGATGCAGGTTTGTGAACTTGAAAGATGCCAAAGGGCTACAGTTACACACTGGCGAGTAGATCCAGGAAAGAAATCAGGTTCTTAAAGCAGTCAACCGTCACCTTGAGTTCTCTTCAGTAAGTGTGCTGCATGTTATTTTGTCTTCCGGTCACTAGAGGGCGGTGGTGGTCCAGATTAGCGCGATGCAGACACTCACTGCTGAGATGAAATGTCAACCAGACCCATCTACCCTGGAATTGTGTTACTTGTCTATAGGGGGAAGAGCTACAAAACAGATAACTTAGGATGCAAGAAAATGCTGAGAGACGGGGAGTGTTACACAGAAGGCCTGAAACACCGCACATTTCCTGTATTGGTGGCAGGGTGAGTACAAGAGGCCCACATCAATGCTTTGCTAATCCACGGCCTGCCCTTTGCCATTCTTAGGAAGCTCTGAAATAGTCTTAAATTTTCAAATATATTTTACTAATGGCAGAAAGATTAAGTTTCCTATGAACTTTCATCCAAAGGCACAGATAGTTGATCGAAGAATAACATCAAATTTTATTTTTTAGATGTCCTTATTCTAGAAAAGTACTTTCCCAAATATGAATTTGAGATTCATTAAAAGCAAGAAAAAGTTTAGGGAAGATGGAAGAAGAAAGTTACATTATTCTTTCCAGGGTGTTTATTGTAATTGTGGCATTTTAATAAATAAAGCTCAGATATATTTTTAAAAATGTAAACGGCAGCCAGACACAAATGAATCTTGAGACTAGAAGCGCACTGGGACAGGGCCGCCGCTGCACGACCAGGACCTCAGCTGAGAAAGCCGCTGATGCAGGCCACGCCTGTGGGCCTCTCCGTGTTGCACACTTAGCTCCAAGGTTTCTAATTATGGCAGAAATAAAGTTTGCAAGCAATTTTCAAAATCTTTTTATTTTCTGTATAATGTGAAGAAGCAGAAAGACCAGTCCCTCCCAAGCTTTGGAAAAAACTGGCCTCATCATCATTATTTTTTTTTTTTTTCTTTTTCAGTTTTAATTTTCACACTTGTACTTGTTTGGGGTACGCAAAGACTGCACTCCTGGTGAGGAGTTGCTACATACACATCTCGCATCTTTTTACACCCCTCCCCTCCCGTACTGGTCGCCTTCCATTTTGCAAAAGATCTTTTCTTAGCTTCTTATTTTGTTAATATTTGGAGTTTCTCATCAGAGAAACCACGTGACGTTTAAGCTTGTGTGTCGATTTCCCTCCCTTAGCATGGCCCCAAGGCGCACGCATGCTCCTGCAGACGACCCGGTTGGCCCTCCGTGGCAGGGCAGGGCTCCGCAGACGCCCACCTTCATACGGCAGCAGTCTGGAGCCGCGGCCGGTACCAGGGGCTGGCGACCACCCCCAAACGGGCTCAGCCTCCATCGCTGCCTCAGTTACCTCAAAAGCAGAGAGATGGTAACAGCAATGGCTCTTTGGAGGGTCTGTGTGTCAAAATGAGGCAACGCTTGCCAAACTACATAAACGGGAAAACTAGGC